TATTTCGCCCCCCCCTCAGACATTTTGTCCGATTTGGTGGGGACGGGAGGGGGCGATGGCATCAATCCCGCCCCCCCCCCCACCCCATAAACTTTCGAGGGGGGGGGCGGTCCAATAAATTTGTAGAAATCACAGCTTCCTAACAGAATCAATTAAATATCTATATGATTAAAACGTGTTATTGGTGTTTTAACCGATCTTTAGATTATGTCGTTCCCCTATTTTCCGATTGGGTGGGGGGGGGGGGGGGGCGAATACATCTACTGCCATTCCCACCTAAACCCTTTGAGTGTGGGGGGGGGCGGTAATACTTTTATGGGGAAATATAACTTTGTGAACAAAATTAGTTGAATATCTATATAATATAAGCTACGTATTGATATGTGAACCCATTTGTACACACACTCTAATCTCAAATTTTATCATTAGTAAATATAAAATGAAAAGGGTTGTACCAGGTGGGAGGGGCGATACATGCAATCGCCTTCCGCCCATTGGACAAACCAATACTTTTCTTTTTGAATTATAGTTAAGAAATTACAAAATTATAAGAAAAATCTGTCACTAATAATAATAATAATAATATATATATATATATATATATTTATGCTGTAATCACGTTTATGCATAGGGTTAGGGTTTACTGGGCGTTAGGGTTGGGGTTTGGAAAAAAATCGCCCCCCCCCCCCATTCCGAAATTCTGGATCCGCTAGTGATTGTATGATCAACACAATCTCATCGTAACATCAAGTAAACATGTAACATCAATCAAAACACATTGTCTCATATGACACTCTAAACTAGTCGTGCCAATATTACGGTATATAGTATAACGAATGAAATGAAGTTGTTATACTCTGGTACTATCTTTTTTGTTTTTTTAATTCACTTGGTAGCAGACAAGAAGATATTACGTCATCATTAGTTGAGCTTTTTCCAGACACTGTAAGATAAAGATGGACAATGGACACTAGTGAATTATTCAGCAAAAACTTTGGTCTGAATGTCGTGTCAGAGATATAGTAAACACAAGGCTAAAGACGGGGGGGGGGGGGGGATGGAGAGAAATGTGGGGAGAGAGATGTGGAGAGAGGTGCGGAGAGACAAGTGATGACAAAGAGAGATGGTGAGCAGGTCTGGATTTAGATTTGATAAGATCGTAAGCTATTTGAGATTTGGGGCCCATTTATACGTCTTAACATTTATATGTCAATGCCAAATTGATATACAATTAAGGAATTTATGCATATCGAAATAATAACCTAAGTCTTAAAATCATTACTCATAACAAATTAGCTCGGACAATTGTTATGGCCCCCCTCCCCCAGTATGTGATGAAAAAGTAAAGTTTCCCTTTCAGACCTTGCGATCTGTAGGACAGATAATGTAAAGGTCTTTTTCAGAAACCAGCGGTTGACGAGGGTATCATGTGACCAGCACAATGTCCTACCACCGATACTTTTCCCCTACTAATGTCAGGTACCAATTAAAGCTGGGCGTCTGGCTTCCGAACCGGAGGTTACCGATTGGTAGCGAATGATGCAATATACTTGGCATTGTCGTCATTTAGTCTTAGAGGAGACGACTCCAGAACGTGAGACTGAAAGAAGTTATTGTAATGATATAGATTTTGGTAAGAAATATTATTACTATTACTGTTGTTGTTTATATTATTAATTAAGTTTTGTCTAGTATTGTTCACAAGGAAGTTATTCAAGTTATTCGAATTTCTAGTAGTTAGGATTCATCACGCCTACAACGTATTAGCTGTCTACCAGCAGCTTGGTGCTGCAACTCAATGACCGATTAAAACACCACGACATTTAAGTTATTTACCAATCTTCTGAATCAGAGACAATATCATCATCAACATCCACAAGCTATTACACTCTTAATTTAGTCTCAATGATTTTTTTGATGAACTCCATAGATCACGGCGTTTATTTAGTTTAATTAAGTTACTAATTAAACACCAATTCCCTCCTTACGTAGATGTTGTCGCTATGATATTTAGCGGTCGATATGCTGCTAGATGCAAGGAAGTAAGTTATGTAACTCTCAAAAGAAAGTGAACTTGCGTGTTGGAAAACTATAATTGTGCCCCTTGTTGCCATGGCAACAGTCGACAACAAAAAAAACGTGAGAAAGTTGGCCTACATATACAAGTGGCGCTAGTCCAGGGAGCGGCGACCAAAGTCACCATTTCGCTTTGACCAATTCAGCACATTACGTTACCCACACTCGATTAACGCCTCACATTGTCCTTTATCAAATGACAAGGAAATTTCATAATTGATACAATTCAAATTCTATTTATTCATTTGACATAATTAGTGGCGTGTTGGCTGGTTGGTAAATCGGTTGGTTTTCAAAACGGGGGGGTCCCGGCATCGAATCCTGATGGAGACTGGGATTTTAATATATCGGGATCTTTAGGGCACCTCTGAGTCCACCCAGCTCTAATGGGTGCCTGACATTAGTTGGGGAAAGGTAGAAACGGTTGGTCCTTGTGCCGGCCCTAATGACACCCTCGCTAACCGTGGGACACAAAAGCAGATGACTTTCACATCTTCTGCCCTATAAATCGCAAGGTCAGAAAGGGGAACTTTACTTTTTATTACAAAATTACAAACTTGTGCGAGCTATAGATGGTCAACTTATACTTCTCAGTCGTTCAGAAGGAAGTTGGATTAGACTTACGATTCTATACCTCAGCATTACTACTAAATCAATAATGAAATAAATTCAAATACAAACAACATTAAAGAAGTAGATAATTCTAAATATGATTTTTAAAGAATTTACCACTTTTATACACCTTATATAGGACGCTGTTGTTTTTTTTACTCATAATGACTAGTTAATGTAAGATTTTAAAAAAATAGAACATTCTATACCTCGACCCAGTGAGGCCAACGAGCTTGTAAATTTTTTTCTCAACAATATTCATTAACTCTCGAATTTCTAGGAAAAATGTTAGAGCCGTTTTTGAGATCCGTGTCCATTCATCCACTTAAAAAATACATACAGACACGACCAGAACTTGATAAAGTGGGCTCCTATGCCACTGGCGTAGCTAGAAATCTGCCATCATTGGGGAGGGGGGGCCTTGACCTCTGCAGTTTGACATTTGACATCATGATATGAGATAATGGCGTAAAATTTAATATTTAATTTAAAAGAATCGAACACTCATTTTAGGGACCACCTCAAGTGAGGGCCCGGGATTTTCAAATTCTCCCCCTCCATTCCCCCACCTTAGCTACGCCACTCTCCTATGCACTTAATGGTGACGACGAATAGCTTTGAAACACTCTGACTGAAATTGAAATAAAGACGATTTTAAATGGATGCAAATTTAAGGATAGTATGTTGTCAAGAAACAAAAAGCGATGGGAAGACAGCATAAAAGAATGGATGGGTCTGCCATTGAAAGAGGTTCTACCCAAGGCGAAAGACAGGAATGGAGAAAGACGTTCGACAAATCTTGTGTGTTGCCCCAACGGTCCAACAGACTAAGGGATAGGTGAATGGTGGTGAAGATGATATAAACATGACATTTTTAATAATTGTCAAAACTGAAGATGTATCTCATTAAACAACTAGTTGCCAGGCTTGGCTCTACTCAAATCAATTGTCATAGATATATAGACCTGTATGTGACAGAGACAAGTATTGATCTTTCAAATGGCCTTGATGTTCATTGTACATAATTGCCTAGTTTTACGGCCTGAATGTTCTCGCACGTAAAAAAAAAAAAAAGCGGTCGTTTAGAACTAGGTCAAGTGTGCCGGAGATATAAACAATTCATCCTCACTGCTTGAGATTCGGTTGTAAGATTGACGTCATCACAGGTCAGGCTTGTCATCTTTTCGTCATTGGAAAAACGAGAGGGGGGGGGGGGGTTAATGTAGAATACTTTTTAAAAAAGACTTGATTATTAATTCAGGTTCCAATTGTGCAAGCGACCAGGGTTATAGAGTGATAGAAAGCATGCTCAAACTATGGCTTATGACAACTCCACATAAACGAAAACGAGATGTCGATAATATAACTGCTTGACATGCTGGTTGGCTTCCTTCAGTCGTAGAATGACTTATGCTTCATCTCGCAGAACACTTTTATCGTGTGACTGTAGTGCCCTATTCTGTAGAGGCACTCTCTCGTCTTCATGTACCTCAGGTGAAGACGGTCTTGGTTGCTTCGATCGGTAGAGGAGCCAGGCATTTTTTCGTTGTGCTTCACTTTGCTTCCAGAGCTGAAGCCAATCCTTATGCTCACAGAAATGCGACACTTTAAGGCAAACCCTTACCTGGGACTCCCAAGGAAAGAGGAAGAGGGGACGGCCCAGGAATACATGGCGCAAAGATTTGGAAGCAGATATCTAGCAGATGGGCAAGACATGGGGACAGTTGGAGAGACTCGCCCAGAACCGAGACGCCTAGAGGAAGCTGTTTGGTGGCCTATCACCAGACGAGACCACAAGCAGATATGAAATGAAGGCGTCTATTTCTAGATGCCTAGCCTTCCTTGGCGGAAAGGTTTGGGGGGGGGGCGAGGTGTTTTGGACGGTCGTTGACCTTTAGCACCAATCTGCTGGTAGACAACTTAACCGCTGTAGGCGTACAATGTATTAACTTGTAAAGCTTGAAATAACTTGAATAGCTTCTTTTGTGAACAAAACTAAAAATAGCTTTAATTACAATAAAGACAAATTCAACTTGAGCTGAAATGAAATAAATGCTATAGACTTTAATAATAATACAAAATGGTATTTTGAACAAAAATCAAATCATTACAAAAACACGTCTTTCCACTCTGACAATCTGAAGTCGTCTGTCGTACCTAAGACAGCTAAAGACAATTCCGCTTATGTTGCAACATTCACACTTCATAGCCACCAACCAATCGCTAACCTCTTCCCACCGTCACCATAGAAACACAAACACTTTTTGAAGCAATGCCAAGGTTGTTTTTGCTATTGTTTTTTTTTCTTTTAGTAATGATTAACTTTAGGTGTAGGACAATTTAGAATGGAATGCCAACTGCAAATGATGCCAACATTTTTTTTAATACTAGAAGTATACTTATATATTAATTTAGAGACTTTCGTATCACCCATTGAAAATTGTGAATTTGTGAACTAATCCACATCGACAAATCAATGTTGTTGACCACTTTACCTATCTAGGCAGCACAGTGTCCAGCAATGGTTCACTATCCAGAGAAATAGACAACCGTCTCGCAAAAGCTACTGGCGCTTTTGGCCTCCTCCGACTGAGAGTAAGGCGGAATAGGTCTCTACACCTAGTAACAAAAATCAGTGTTTATAAAGCAGTGGTTCTCACTACACACTTTCATGGCTCTGAGAACTGGCCTTTAATGCACTTCGAACGCTCCCATGAAAAGGTGCCTTCGCCTAGTGGCGGGCATATGCTGGCGGGACTACATTACTCTGTTCTGTTGGAGGTCGGTGTGGACAGTATAGAAACACTATTTACAAACAGCTGCGCTGGGTCAGACACTTATCCCGCAAGGGAGATGACCACATGCTATCTTCTTTGGCGAGCTTAAAGGAGGCCGGCTTAACACAAGTGCTCCCCCACCCCTTTAAGGGCTATAAAGATCAACTCAGGCGTCATTTAACTCTCATTGGCATAGAGGAAAGTAGCTGGCAGCAGATGGTCTCTGAAAGAGACAGTTGGAGAGCTCTTACAAACGCTGCGGGACAAACATTTGAGACTAAAAGAAAAGACATTATTTGGAGACAGGCGCAGAAGACGGAAAGAAAACATAATAGACCGCCAGAGGACAACGGCTTTGTCTGCAGGAAGTGCTGGAAAATATGTAGGTGGGAACTGGGTTTACCTAGTCATGTAAAACACTGCACTCATCTTTAATCTTCGTATTCGAAGACATCGCCGCTGTTCTCTCTGACTACTACTACAATGAACAGATATAAAATAGTTATATAATAAACATTACTAGTAACCAACAACATTGCCTAAATCTGTAAGATGCGAAAACCTTTAAGGCAAATTTGATGAAAGGGGTCCCAGCGCGATGTTTGAGCGGTAAAGAGTTCGGCTTCTGAAATTGGGGTCCCGGGTTCGAATCCTGGTGAAGACTGGGATTTTTAAGGGATCTTTAGGTGCCTCTGATTTCACCCAGCTCTGATGGGTACCTGACGTTAGTTGGGGAAAGTAAACGCGGTTGGACGTTGTGCTGGCCATATGACACCCTCGTTAACCGTAGGCGACAGAAACGGATGATCTCTACATCATGTGCCCTATAAATCGCAAGATCTGAAAGGGTAACAAAACATTATACCCCTTATTACAAAGCTTATATAAAATCTCACTTTGTCTGTTTGGTAAAAAGTTTATACATGTTATATCTCCCACACCTCTTCTCGGATCAAGATGAAACCTTGTACAACTATTTATTGTTATAGACAAGACATAAATACATTTTAAAAAATTAACCAATTAATCAAGTAAGTACTGGTTATTAATTATTTTTTTTTATACCAACAAAGGAAATTAATCCTCCGGTGTTGACAGTCCCATTAGATAACTGAACATTTAAGTTCTCCCATACCCTTTCTCAGATCAATTAGAAGCTTTAACTTTTATTTATTTTACCTAACAAAACATGAATCAATTGAAACATTAAATCAGTCAATTGGTAATAAGTAAAAAAAATTTAAATATCGAATATGGGAAATAACGTCTACAGTATTGAGAGATATAGTTGTAAATGCGAGGTTCTTTACCTTAGATAAGCTTTGGATTTTTTGGAAGTATTTTTTATATTTTGCTTGTTTTTAATTACGGACCTAAATTCACGAGCAATCTCAGCTTTGTGTGAAGCTGGCCATCGCGTTTTAAAGTAATATTGAGTGATAGTACTAGTACTTTTGCTTTTCAGTATGCAATCTACAAAGCTCAGGGTTTTGTATATGTCGGATGGTTTACTAATGTACCTTCCGCCAAAAACTCCGCCTAGGGCGATCGCTAATCCGGCTGCAGGGGAAGGAGGATAGGGCTGGCTACCCTGCCCTGTTAAAGGAGCTACCCTGCCCTGTTAAAAGAGCTACCCTGCCCTGTTAAAGGGGAGCTACCCTGCCTTGTTAAAGGGGAGCTACCCTGCCCTGTTAAAGGGCCCATCAGATGTATGAACACCAAATGCAGATGTCGCTGGCCTGGAGGAGGATAGACCTCCAGCTGTAGGGCGTATCGACTCTGTGAAGGTCAGGGTCATCTAGAGGCCGACATGCCGAAGGCTACTGTTTCCACCAAGATGAAAATGGGATGAACGTGCGACACATTCTCAACAGGCTGTTTCGAAGAATGGTTTTGAACGCATATATTTTTTTTGTATGTGTTTAATAATCAGATATTCATGCAAATAATTACACGCCTGTGCAGACAGAAGAAAGTTGAGCTATTTTTATTAATAATAAGAATGATTGTAATACATCTGGTTAACTCTTTTATGAATAAATTTTTAGCTTCTTCTTTGTGCTGTAACATTCACCCAGAAGCCCCCTTCTTTTTATAAACTAATTGATACAATTAAACTTAAATAAAAGCTTTGTTGTTGTTTTTAAGTATTTTAAAAAAAATATTTTGCTTCTTCTTATACCAAATATTGGGATTAGGCCCTTATTCCCTTCATTTATTTCCTAATGCCCTTAGAGCATGGAATTGAGTAAATCAGCCAGTAGAATATATCACTTTGTCAAGTGTTAAGTGATTAATTTATATGAACGAGTTTAGTAACACTCTGATGCGTCAGGCGGAGTGGGCGTAGGAACAGTAAAACATAAAGATGAACATTCTTCGATATTAGGCCTTCATCTACGACTAACCCAGATTAGATAAAGAAAGAGTTATGAGGATTTAAAAAAAAATTGTGTACAATTAACTCGTTTTCCTTGCTTGAATGGATTTCTCAGATTCTTAAGAGGCATATGTTTTAACTGTCTGGTACAAATTTTCTTCACGTTTTTTTTCTGCCACGTCCAATTCTCGGATCAATCTGAAATTTTGCACAATTATTCGATGACAATACACGAATCAACCCCAAAAAATTACCTAATTAGTCAGTGAATTAGTTATTTTTGATTTACATAGAAAAAGAGAGTTAAACATTGCAGTATTGAGAAATATCACAGTGATTTTGAAATCTTCCTCTTAAATTAGCTTTTATTTTTTTTAAATATTTTCCTTATTTTGATTTGTGGTGTAAAAAAAAAACTACATTTTAATGTGTGTGTGTGTGTGACAATAAAAAACAATAAAAAAACTTTTTTATTCACAGAATTTTTTGTTTTTTTTTAATTTAAGGTACTTCAACTAAAGAAGCGCGGTGGCTGAGAGCTAAAGCGATTGGCTTCCAAAACCGGGGATCCCTGGTTCAAATCCTGGTGAGGATTGGGATTTATCATTTCGAGATTTTTGGGCGCCTTTGAGTCCACCCAGCTCAAATGGGTACCTGACATTAGTTGGGGAAAAGTAAAGTCGGTTGGTCGTTGTGCTGGCCACATGACACCCTCGTCAAACGTAGGCCACAGAAACGATGACCTTAACATCACCGGCCTTATAGACCACAGTGTCTGAAAGGGGAACTTTACTTTACTTTTTTTTATTTCAACTAAAGAAGAGAAAGCTGATTAACATTTTCGTATGCGTTTCACATACCTGGCCTTTAAGTTTCTGGAGTGAAGGCATGTTAACATCAATGTCTCAGGTAGAAATATCCTTTTATAGTATGTATATTTCACGTTTCTTCAGAATTGAACATTATAACATCATAGCCCAAACCTCCCGCATTACGGGCGAAATGGGGGAGGGCAGGGATGGGACCCGGAACAGTCGAGATTCAGTCTCGGGCACAAACCACACGATCAGACAGCCATTCATAGTTAGCAAAACTCATTTATAGTCAATATTTTTTTTTAAATGGGGGGAGGGGCGTGAAATAATGTATGCAGTATGAACTTTGGAATACTATAGTAAAAAGAATTATTACAATACGAATTATGTTTAATAAATGGAAGACAAAACTTCTCGCTTCAAAACTGCCGCGCCAAAACGGCTGCGCTGAAACGTCGCGTTTGGACTAGTGTTCTGTTTGGGGGTTTTTTGTTATTTTTTTTACATGTTTCGGATGTTCCTTCAGAGCTGAAGATAATTTTCTTTCTAGTCCAAACTTCCCGTTGGACGACGGGGGATGGTAGCTGTCAGGGTTTCAACCTGGGACCATCGATAAGTCGAACGGCAGTCCAGCGCTCAAATCGCACGCCCAGGCAGCCAGCCTATTTGGCTTTTCTTAATTTCATATTCAATAAACCACTTGGCTATCAGTATCATAGGAACACTAAGATTATTAATAAAGTTTTAAAAAACACTTGGTTAGCCCAAGAAACAAAAGCTTACGTTAGAATGTTTACAACATCGTTTAACCAAAAAAAAAAAGAAAAATTATGACACATTTGGCTTGTCATAAAATGTTCACCTCACAAACACAATGACATATTTGTTTTGCTTTAGTTGCCCTCAAAGCTTACAAAAGAAGAAATGGGAGCTTGAAAGTATTGTTTAGGGTGGGGTGATGAGGAAGACATACATTTAAAACGGATAAATATCAAATTCTAGGGTTCCTAAAACGACACGAGCCAAACTAAATCCGGATCAAGGCGGATCAGGACAATGCTTTATGTTCGCGTTGAAAAACCATAGAGAGACAGGGAAGATGGTTGGTAGGAATTTATCCTCGTATTGTTTGTTTCTTTATCTCGGGGAAGAAAATGCTTTCAAGAACTAGTGACCTTCAGGAAAAGAATGGATTTTATGACATACGCACAGGGCCGGACTTAGGCCACTTCAACTTTTGCGGTCGCAGTGGGCTGCGCGCTTTCATAGGCCATGTGCTAATTCTATGTGTAATTATTAAATTGCAAAATATCTACGAAAAATTCCTGGAAATGTTCTGCATTTATTAAAATCTCCTGAAAACTCATAAAATCTCCTGAAAAATTGACAAAATTGTCATTTGTGGGTGTCATTTATTACGGAAAACGCCAATCCTACGTGCGATAAAAAAGGCATTTCATGTGATACAATGTAATAATCGGACGAGTTTTCACCTAAACCGAAAGTTCCAATACCTTATTTACTTTTATAGTCAATGGCATATAAATATGTCATAGGTGGCAAGGTTCGTAAAGAAAAGTTAATTTGATCGCAATTTTGTACTTAGTAAAGAGTGCATAAAATGTTAAGTCGATTTTATTTTGTAATACGAAATCTTAATTTTCACTTATTATCCTTATTCCCATCCAGACTAGGCCCACGCAATCAGTTTCGCCTAGGGCCTTGCAATTGTTTGGACCGGCCCTGAATACTCAACTTCTGTGTAAATAGAGTTGGGCTATAGGGAAGGAGAATGTAGCTTCAACCCCTCAACATAGTACAGAAAGAAATATAATCATTCGTTTCCTTACATATCCAAATTATGTCATTTTTAGAGGCCCCCAAAGTTGGCCTGGCTAGCCGTCCGTCCGTCTGTCCGTCCGTCCGTCCTGTTGAGATCGACAAAACTGAGAAAGATATTGAAAATTCGATATCATGATATTTTAGTTCATGCAAAGTTCTGGTGCAACGGCTTATTTTTATCTTCTGAACATGAACAGTTTTGTCTGTAAAGTTTGTTATTCAAGAAGTTTCTTTTTCATAACTAAACACCAATAGTTATTAAAAAGACTTCAGGGGAGGTAAGTCTTAATAATATATCACAGACTTCTTCATTCATGACTGTAGCTTCATTGATGGATTCGTGCATAGGTTAAAAAAAATGGTATCTCAGGTCAAAACCAAAAAATTATTAATGGCTCCTTATTAAATATGTTTTTCATTCATTAACTATCTTATTTAGTAGAATACTCATTTACATGTTGTTATTTTTGACAAAGCTTATATCAACTCACTCTTTCTGTCTGTCTGGTATAAATCTTGTACACGTTAGTTCTCCCACTTTCCATTCTCTGATGAAGTTGAAACTTTACAAAAATATTCATTGTCGATGACAAAAGATATTAATCTAAAAAAAAAAACCTATTTATTTAATTAATTATAGGTAAATAATTATTTTTCGCTTTATAAAGAAAAGTGGAGATCTTGCAGCACTGACATATATGATATTAATTGTGCTATTCTTCCTGCTTCGTTTTTTCATTCAGTATTTTTATTGTTTTGCTTGTTTTAAGATTTCTGATCCGAAAAGGATTGCTTTTTTGTCGATATGCACATGACGTCCATGGAAGCCAGGTCTAGATCAAAGTTAACTATACGGGGGAAAAAAAATTAAAATAATTAAATAATGAACACTGAGTGATTTGAAGATTCAACTAGAAACGTTTTATGGTGTTTTTATGGTGTCAGTTGTCTCTGGGTCTAGATTAGATTTTATCGGCCGTGTCTTTTTAACTGGACTGTCGTTCTGTCGGT